TGCCCAAAATCCCAAGAGGAGAATGGAGAAGGGATTGCAGTGTGTCCATCCCCCCTCCCCCCCGGGGGGGCGTGATTTCTCATTTTCTGTTTCTCTGTCTCTAAAAAAAAAAAAAAAAAGGCAGAAAAGCAGGTACGAAACTAGTTTCTAATGTAAAGCAGAGAAGTGGCATGCAAGAATCGCGAAGGACCAAGAAGCTCATCCAAGCTCTGACTGCTACTCCCTGCTTTGCCTACCCTGGCCACTCATGGTGACAGAGAGGGACAGACAGAGCCCAGACCTCCTCTTCCCCCTGCCCCTGTCTTCCTTTACTTTACAGTACGGCAAAGGTACCAGAATACACTCAGATGAGGAAAGTTTTTTTTTTTTTTTAGAGGTTTTTGTTATAGGGCACATGCACTCGCCAGACAGACAGAGAGAGACAGAGAGACAGAAAGTGAGAAATCACCCCCCAGGGGGAATGGCCACGCCACAATCCCTTCTCCTCCGTTCTCCTCTTGGGGTCTTGGGCACGCACGCATGCGTGCCTGGCATGAGTTTTAAGCCACTGGGTCCAGGATGCGAACCACGGTCGACTACGTGTGAGTCCAGCAACATAGCCATTACGCTAACTGCTGGTCCCCTCAGAGGAAGAAGTTTAATAAAACAATCTATTCAGTTTGGTGCAACAATGACACTGTTCTGATGAGAATAAAGTACATATTCGTGTGTGAGCTATGAAAAACAAACTGTAATTTTAATGATACCGCATTTGAGTTCAAGGCTCTTATGAAATCGGGACTGTGCACTATAAAGATGAATGGTAAAACTCACGCTAGTTTAATTTTCTTCTCTACTTGAATATTAAATAGCAAATAAAAAGCACTGTGAGTCAAAAGAGAGACCACACCAAAACAAACAAACAGACAAACAAACAAAACCTTGACTTGAAGACCTCAACACAGTTTTCTTGTTTTAAAACATCTTCATTGTGTACTGAGGCTTACGAATAAGCAGCCAACTTTGGCCACTGGGCCTGTGTACTGGGCCGCTAGGGTGACGGGAGCCACTGAGCTGTGTCCCCCTTTCCAGGCCTTCCTCCCTAGAGAGAAGTCATTCTTAGGGGGCTGCTTATGCTTGCTGACCCCACGTGGACAGGGAGGGCGAGGCTAGCCTGATCAGGGTCCAGGTGTATGCAGGGCAGCGGTTTAAAATTTCCGATCACTCTGCTGTTTAACAAGTTGCAACCCTCGTCATTACCCCGGTGTTATGCATGGAATTGCTGACACCCTGGAAACTGCCTAATGATACAGAAAACGCTATTTCTCCTGTGTGGAACGCCACTGGGCAAGTGGGTATTACTTATAGATGTATAAATATTGTGCATATTAGCGTGAAGAGTCACTTACAAGTCAATAAGCTTTCTGGACTGCAGAAGAACAAAAGAGAAACAAATCACAAAGAAGGGAATAATTGCATAGGATTTTGTTCAATGCTTTCTTAACCTTGGAAAGGCAAAACATTTCTATAAAAGGGTACTTTTAATTTTATTTTGCAGGTAATACAAAGGCCACATCAAATTAATTTCCCATTTACTATTTAGCCTTGAAAGAAAAAAAAAAAAGGCTTTTATTCCAGAATCCTGAGTGAAGCAGCAGATTTCTGAGACACGGTGGGGCTTGTGCTCACGGGTGCCTCCTTAATTCTGCTTGCCCACTTCGTTCTTGGCCCACTCCGGTGTGTGTGTGTGTGTGTGCGTGTGTGCGTGTGTGCGTGTGTGCGTGTGTGCGTGTGTGCGTGTGTGCGTGTGTGCGTGTGTGCGTGTGTGCGTGTGTGCGTGTGTGCGTGTGTGCGTGTGTGCGTGTGTGCGTGTGTGCGTGTGTGCGTGTGTGCGTGTGTGCGTGTGTGCGTGTGTGCGTGTGTGCGTGTGTGCGTGTGTGCGTGTGTGCGTGTGTGCGTGTGTGCGTGTGTGCGTGTGTGCGTGTGTGCGTGTGTGCGTGTGTGCGTGTGTGCGTGTGTGCGTGTGTGCGTGTGTGCGTGTGTGCGTGTGTGCGTGTGTGCGTGTGTGCGTGTGTGCGTGTGTGCGTGTGTGCGTGTGTGCGTGTGTGCGTGTGTGCGTGTGTGCGTGTGTGCGTGTGTGCGTGTGTGCGTGTGTGCGTGTGTGCGTGTGTGCGTGTGTGCGTGTGTGCGTGTGTGCGTGTGTGCGTGTGTGCGTGTGTGCGTGTGTGCGTGTGTGCGTGTGTGCGTGTGTGCGTGTGTGCGTGTGTGTGCGTGTGTGTCTAACGTAGCAATGCTATAGCATATGTGCAAGGCTCTCCTTGAGGATCAGTATATCGCCCCCCAGCAATCACTTGAGAGTGTTAGAGATCAAGGCATGACCTTATATGGTAACAGGGCTGACCCCACGGGGCAAGTCTTCTGCTCCAGGGCCCTGCTCCAGGAATTAGAGTATTTGTGCGTGGGTCAGTGGCATGTTCATCGTCTTTACACACAGTCGCTATCAGTGTGACCTATGGGTATGTGTGCGAAGGGACCTGGACTCTCAGGAAACCGGGTCGCACCTCTTCATGGAGCTTGTGAGGGGACTGGATTGGCTTCTTTGGGCTTCTGCTTCATCTGTGAAACGGAGTGAGTCCCACCTGACGCAGTCGCAATGAAGTCGTGATGCAGTAACACGGGCTGAGCTGAGTGTCCGGAACACGCTTAGCCCTCCGTGGCTGTTTTCCTTCGCCTATTTCCAAACGTAGAAAACTTTGCATGCCCTTCAGATTTAACTTATTTTTTCAAAAAAGGAAACACTTTACTGTATGTAAAAAGATTTTAAACGCATATCCATATGTTCATGATGAAAAGTAGAATTCTACGTTCCCGCTCTAATTTTAAACTTCTGGGCCTGTTTCCTAGGTAACCACAGAACAACTTTCTGAAAATTCTGTGGCTATAGGTACGTAGCTAGCGAGTGAGTTAGTCCCTTGCTTTTATAGTCACGCATGGGGTCCTGCCGTATATGCTGACATGACATCTATTCTCCGTAGCTTTCATAGTGGCCTACCGTTCACAGTTCTCTATTCTAAACTGCTCTGTACTATCCCATTTTAGATGGATTTTTAATTGAGCCTGCGGTTGTCCCCAGTTTCGTATTCTCTCAAACTCGGCGGCAGTAAGCTCGTTCGCCTCCTCTCCTTATCCATCTGGGTAAAGACTCAGGTAGGGAACATTCAAGGGCGTATTTATTTTTAAATTTGATTTTTTTCTCCGTCCCCCCCCTTAACTTCAGTTCCATCATTTATTCCCCACTCCCCTGTCAAAAGAGCTCCTCTCAGTCATTTACAATACCGTTTCATACCATGAGGATACTGATAATATTTGTCTACTTATCACTTCTTAGAGTTGTAGAGAACGAATACTGTTGGGGAAAAACCCATAGTTTAAATATTTGTATAAAATTCAGTATAATTTAGCTCACAATAAGTCAGACAATGTGGTAATAAGCTTTACCACTTGTCAAAAAAGGGGGCACTGCGAGTGATGCTGGAGGCCACTGGAAGGCCCTGGCTTCCCCTCAGGCTAATTCGCATGCTGGGGCCACCTGATCCCGGCTGGCTGCAGGGCTGGGGAGAGAAGAGAGGTGAAGATTCTCTCCTCTCTCTCTCTCTCTCTCTCTCTCTCTCTGTCTCTTTCTTGAAAGAAATAAATAAAACCTTTTTTAGAGGCCCTGACTGTTTCAGGAGTTTGGTAGCGCTCAGCCTGAGGGGTTGTCTTGGAAGACGGGAGGAGTGTTGAAACCCTTTCACGCGTGTAAGTACCTACTCCGTGAGTGGTGATGCTATAGGCTGCAAACCTTCCCAGGGTCCTTTCCTCCAGAACCATTCTGGAGTCTAAAAATAAAGACCAAAGCTAGGGCAATGGGAACGAGGTGCTCCCCTAGGGGTGGGGGGTCGTCCATGGCGTTATGCAACCCAGTCACAAAGGAATCCTCAGGCTTTTCTCAAACATGGTGAACTTCCCTAAGTGATTTTAGAGGCTCAAATTACAAACAGCTTCCTAATTGTCTTTGAAAACCACCCTTCCTCTGAGTGTTGAGTTATTGCTGATTGAGTCTTATCCTTGGGTTTTACTGTGTCCTCGCTGACAAGTCCTGGATCCAAGGAAAATACAGAGCAATGCTCTGAAAGCAAACCTGTTCTTACCCATAAGAAAACGCCATTATTCATGTGTTGCTGTAGAGGAGGGGAAACAATGCCCGCCTTTCATTGCTAACAGTCCTCATTGTATCTGCTTTGTCCCTGAATGGGTTCCACCACGCAGGAAGTGACATGGCACGGCGAGTTGAAGAATATTTCTTATTTTCATCCGGTCGGGTGACACCGTGTGTCCAACTCCGTACCGAGAGGAAGGTCATGAGAGCCCACGTCACCAGGGGGCTCCTTAATCCTCTGGTGAGCTCCTCCGAGTTCACTGTTACAACAGAAGCAATGCCATCCATTTCGCTCAGGAGCCTTCAAGTCCAGTGTTTTATAATGACCTTTCTGCTGGGGGTATTTGTTATATAAATACATAAAGAATGTCACCCCTCTTCCTCCAGAATTTCTTGATTTCCTTGTTAAATAAGACAGCTACAGTGGCTCGAGTATTTATACGGTGCCAAATTCTTTGTGTACATTACCTCCAAGTTTCATGACTCTGAGCGATGAGGATTATTGGGCTCGTTCAGAGATGGGGAAATAGGCGCTCAGAGAAGCTGAGAAATGTTTTCAAGGTTATATAGGTCAAGCTCAAATGTGTCAAACTCCCAAATCTAGGCTTTTTCTCTCACACCGGGTCATCTCTCAAATAGAAGGGCTCTGGTGCCTGGCTCCTCCATAGCGTTGGAAATATTTAATACGTCACTCTGCCCCAAAGCAAACATTTTCTTTGCAAATAAATACTCTAAGGAAACGTTTTCTTGGTTTTCACTTCAAATTGTCTGTAAATTACAATAAATTTCAGTCTGGTCATTGACTGTCCCATCAGATGAAGAAGCTAGAAAGATGTGTACCATGTGAGAAGAATGTGTTGGGCTTATCTGACTTGATTAGCGGCCTAATGGTGTATGGTATTTACTTCGGGGATCCCTAAGGTGGCATAGGCATTAGTCCCCTGTATTAACTGAAGCAGGACACCTGGGAGTGGTCCAAGGACAGAGGACACCCAGAGGACAGAGAGACAGAGCAGGTGTCCTACGGGAGCCTAGCCAGAAGTTCCAAAGGAGCCCCCCCCCCCATTCTGCAGTGATTTGCAGCTGGGATGCTCCTCACATGGTCCCCTCTGTGCGTTCTCTGGGATCAATTGCAGCTGGAGTTTATTTCCTTAAGGATGGTTAGTAATTCTACAATATTCTGGATTATTTTATCAATAGCATTCTATTTGGGTTCTTTATTGTTGCCGAACTCGGCTTCCCTATCTCAGAGTTTACCGATCATTCCCTTAAGCCTCCGGGATTAATTATTAAGGTGTGTTTGACGGAAACGCACTAGACCACAGCCGGCAACGTGCATGGCCGTGCCTTAGGAGGTCGTAGTTAACGGCCAAGGAGACTCTACATTCTGAGCCGGAGAGTCTGGGTTTAATCCGTATCTGTGCCGTTATCAATGCACCCCCTTTACTTTTCAGAAGTCTCCCAGTGTGGACAGTGAGCTATCTGGTCATGTTAGCCTTGTCTAATATGAATTTTCAGAACTTGCACTGAGTAGTAAGAAGTCCCCAGGGCCCAGAAACCAGGCCCGTAACTAGCAGGAGCTTTTCTAGCCAACCTTGGTCCTCCTGGCCCAAGCCACAGCCTTCCCTAGAACAGCTGCCCTCCAGGTGTGTGAGCGCCAGCCTCTCTTCCAGGGCGGGCAGGATTTCTCCATCCCTAAGCTAACACTTCATTGGCCATGACGGTTTCTAAAAGGTCTGGCGTTTCCAGTGTAACCAGGTGGGTGGGGCCATCTCGCTGGGTGCGTAGGATTCCACTAACCCTCCTCCATGTCGCATGCCTGCCACTGCTGCTCTGCTCATCTGGATTCAGAGCTGTCGTGTCACCTAAGCCTTCTCACGTCACTCCCCAGCTCTGAGGCTTACCTGCCTCCCCAGTGAGATGGCCAGGCCCTGGTCACCCAGTGGTACCTGGAAGGCGGATCCCACTCGCAGGAATCTTTCATACCGCACGCACTTTGCACTGGAAGATACTCAGTGGTTGTTTACTGACGATGCTATTTCTTATGAACGTCTTATCTACGTCTCAAGCCAATACCATTCTCCCCTTGCAACGGGTATGAGACCCGACAGTACAGCATTCTTCATTTCGCCTAAAAGCTTTCATACTTTGTACCTCTCTCTTTATCATCCCTTCGCGTAAAATGTATTGACGTGAAGGGTGTTCTCAAAAAGAGTTAAAACACTCTGAGTCTAAAGAGAAGCTAATGTGAGAACTTTTATCAATGATTTGGAAACTATATTTCTTTTGATGAGACTGAAGACAGGAGCAGTGTCTTCAGGAAGGCCACTGGCTCTGTGTGGTGTGTGGTGTGTGTGTGTTTATTGCATGCTACTTGGGAAGGGAAGGAAGACTGAGAAGACGGTCAGCTCTATGTGCTGTCCTGTTTGCCACCTTGGCGTGCCCTCAGTGTCCCTAGGATATTGGACTAGAGATAAGCGCTTGACTGTGGGTTCCTTGAGGCAGGGTCTGACTGTCAGCTGTCTTGCAGTGACTGCAACATGGCAGGTGTTCAGTAATCTTTCCTTAAGCGGAATGGTGACAGAGAGACCTGAGTTCCAGGCTCAGTCTAAGGAGTTTTTCTATCTGTAGGATGAAGCAGGATTTAGAGTGTTAGAGGAGGCAGTACAACTGATTTTTTGAGGAACATTTGTTGGTTCAGTTTGGGATTGGCCTCATGGCTGTACCTTCCTGGGAGACTAGGCCTGGCCAAAGACTCCACAGTTCTTTACTGTGGCACGGCCGCCCCTCCGTCCTTGACACCTGTGGTCTTGTTCTCTGCCCACCTCAACCAAAGAGCTTTTGAGGCAGAAACACCAGGCTGTTTCCCTGACTAGCTTTGTTGTTCTCAGCGCTTCTGTCACTTTTTGTGCTTACAAAATGCTTACTTTTTCTTCAAGGGTCAGCCCGGGCACTGCGTGTGGCAAAAACCTTCACTAAGAGCTGTGCCACCCCTCCCCCATCTCATACCGTTTGGGGCATCATTTATTTCACTGTATTGGAATGGCACGTTCTCTTTTGTTTCCCCTGAAAATCAGTTCTGCCTAAAACTTTGGCATCTTCACCTGGCTTATTTCGTGGTGCCCCCAACACGCAGCTGAGTGCTCAGCATGTTCAAGGTGCTCGAGTTTGTAGACTTGAACAGAGCCTTGTCCGCGTACTGCTGAACATCACTATGCATTAAAACTGCAGACAAGTTGTTAAATAGTATTGTAAATTCTGCGCTTTCCAGCTTGTCTTGCTTTAAAAAGCTAGAGGCTAAATTTAGGGCAGTTTCTTGGTAGTGTATTTATTTGTAATTAGAGTGAGAATTTTCAGGGAAAGAAAAAGAAAAGTCGATCTATGAGTTTATTTGTTTTCCACACACACACACACACACACACACACACCCCGCCCCGCCATCATTTTCTGGAAGGATCGTATCTTAGAGTGGAGATCAAAGAGAATTGTGTCTGTCTTAGAAACCCTCAGGTGATTTTTTTAAGTAAGACAAAATGAGATGATTAGAAAAGATTATGTGTGGAAATACAATTATTTCCTAACTTCGGAGCACATGCCTGGAGAGTCCTTTATTGAATGCATGCGCTGACAAATATTGCATTAAAGGACAGACTTGTTTGCAGCAAAAATGCTTCAGTGCAACGAGGCTATCTACCTGGCAGGTCCCACAGGGCATTCTAATTATAGGCTGTGACATAAAACCTCTGATTACATGGGATTCTAATTATTTCCTAAAACTTATATATTAAAAATCTCCGATTTACTGTAAAATGGACCAAAGTAACAATGTCTAAACTGAAGAATCATATTGCTGTCTTCTTGAGAAAGGGACTGATAAGACATAATTAATAAAAGGCTGTAAAATAAACAAAGCCTTTTAATTGTCTCACTGAAATGTAGCCAAATGGTCTTTATATGGCTGCACGGTGAGCCGGCCCGTGGCTAACTACTGTTACTTGAGCTACCTCGGACCACATTTCAGAAACTGAAGAAAGACAACTCACCTTTCATGGGAATAATTAGACAGAGCAGATAGCAATTATCCAGAGACATGGCAAGGATGATTGGTTATCATTTACCCATTATTCCAAAGGGATATCTTTCCAGCAATTTTAGGTCACCACCCAAGCTCTGCTAATATTAGGAGGTCAAGAACTCAAAGTAGAAACATACGAATAATATGGCAGGACTCTCAAAGACTATCCACGGCACCTATTAATCTTGAACCATGGCAGCTCCGTTCAAGGGCACTGAGATAAAGAACACAGACAGGTTAAGTTCCCCACAGATGTGCTCGTGGCCTGCCTTATGTGAGCTGATGGAATTGAAAGGATTCAGAAAAATCCAGGTTCACTCAGTAAACGTTTCCCGAGGATGAGGTTTGAACGCTCTGCCTGACACGGGAAGTCATGGCAGGGCTCTGATCCAGCGCAACTCGGAGGCCAATTTGGAAGACAAGACGTATCTGCATGAGCTTCTCAAGAGCAGCAAATGTAATTCATTGTCAAGAAGTGTCACGGGGATCGGGAAGCATCACGGGAGAGGTCGGCTGTTCCGGCCTTCTTAGGAATAGTTTCCAGGGAATAAAGGCCACAAATGGAGATTCCGGAAGGCACTGATGCTCTGTGGCCTTGACGAGGCCCTGCTTTCAGAGGGAAACATCCCTGGCCTCTACTGATAAGGTTGATTAAATGATGCCAAATGGAAATTGTGGCTCCATTTTGACCCAGGGATCCCTCTTGGAATGGCTGGAGGCTGAGTCTGCAGAAAGCGCGTTCTGGTCAGTAGACCCCGAACTCCTCGGCCAAGACGAGACAGACAGAAGGACCATCCAGCACGGAGCGTGGGAAATCAGGTTGAGAAAAGCACATTTGAAGGCGAGATCTTTAAGTGGCCAAATTTGAGAGAAAATGCCAAAGCCACTCTGACTTCAGATCTTCCCAGTTGTGTACCCCTTCTGAAAACTAGCCTGAAACTCAGAGAAATCAAAACTCCTGGTGAATTCCTGCATCAACTGAACCTTTGATGAAGCAGAGGAAATTCAGGTGTTCCCTCCATTTGACTATTCTACCTGAGGTTGTCCAAAACAAAGGCATGAATTCAGATGTACCACCTTCAAGAATGAAAGCAATAGTCAAGTAAAGAGTTCACACTAAGGACGTGACTTCCCACGGAGGGACACCTCGCTGAGATCTTGAGGGGCTTTCTCACTGACGTTCACGCCGAGCATTCCCACCGAAGCTGATGCAGGAGGGAGCGAAGCTCGGCCTTGGCGTGAGTCTCCCCTCAGAGGTTGCCATCGCAGGCTCCTACTGCCTTTTGAGGAAGAG